CATTGGGCTCAATAATCTAATATAAAAATAATCTAAATTAATTATACAAGTATTTCAATCAATTAAATACGCAATTGTTTTAGCCATGGTGAATTTTTTTTTTCATTTTAGGTTATTTTTTTTCTGACCTGCTTGTTTTGAGTAATTGATTATTATTATTCATTAATAATGAAAAAAAACCAAATGACCTGCATTTTCCGATGCTAAGATTTCAGTTCCGAAATATTTTTTTAGTTATAGCGCCATCAGAAGATTTTCTTTAAATACAGTTTGTAAGCCTACTTCCGGTGGTAGCGGTGAAATATTTTCCCCTAGCGAGAGATTGATTTCTGGTTGAATGCACCCGGTGAAGTTGACGGAAGGTTAGTCTGTCTGTAATTCGGAGCTAGGTTGTGCAGTCGTATGAGAAAAGGGGATATATTTTCTGTAGTTTCTTAACACAAGAATCTTGGAAATTATATATATATATTCCCTGTTCCTCACAGGAATTCCTGATCTAAGGTAAACTAAATGTTTAAAAGTTAACTTTCGGAGAGTGGCAGGAAGTCAAGGCTGGCTGGCTGAGCGACACGCGCGGTACTCAAAGAAACGAACTTACACAGTTCAGTACTCAGCCAAAGAAGTGCAAGTACAGTACTCAATTATACTCATGAGTATGATAGCACCACTCCATAGATCATTACCTGGCCTAAGAATCCTACGTAGGCCTAGGTTTGTCAAGTATTTAAAGAAATTTTTCTTGCAGAAACTACAACAACGATACTCATTCATACTTACTGTACTTTTATTTGTACTGCTCTACTAAGCCCACTGAAATTGCCTTGTCTTTTAACTGTAAAATTCGATCTACATGTATCTACTGTATGGCTAAGGCAATGTAAATTTGCAGTATCTAGGCTTCTAGGCATACTTCTTTTATTTTTAATTAATAGGAAAACAAATTGTCTCCTATTTTATATAGGCTTTTAACACCGCTTTTAACCTACAGTACTGATTTGAATTTGTCAAGTATTTAATTATTATATTATTTTTTTTAATTATTATTTTTTTTAATTTATTTTATTACCAAATAAATTCAAATAAAATAAAATCAAAGTTCTCTTTATGGCCTTTAATAGTGGGAAAATTCTGTGTGAAAAAATAATGATGTTGATTGATGTTGCATAAAGACTGCTATGCACTTTATAATATCCAACCTGATTAAACTTCGCTCCACCACTTGTTCTAGAGCTTTAAGATCTACATCTAGTTCATCTACATTATTCATCCCTTCATTTCGTACAAGAACGTATGGTGAAAGAGCATTTTCCGTTGCTGCTCCCAAGGTGTGGAATAGCTTGCCTATCTTTGTTCGTGAGTCTCCTTCTCTTGAGATATTTAAAAATCGTCTCAAGACTCATCTCTTTAGTTTATTTTAATTTGCAAATTTCTAACGCATGGAGACCTATGTATTTTGCTTTTTTAGCTTTACAAATCCAAATTATTATTATTATTATTATTATTATAATCCATTGATTGACTGATTGATTTAAAAGTATTTCCCCTTGCAAGAATAGGCAAGTTGAATAGCAACCAACAGCAGGGGGTGCAGACGGTGCGATCGTACCCCCTAAATTGTATGAGATTGCAATTTGTAGGCACCTAGAAGTTCATATTCTCCAAATTTTCACACCTCAACCCACACCATAATGGGGCTGAGGTGGTGTGGACTCTCGCACACTCTTACTGGCAAATCCTGCATCTTATTTTATTTATTTTATAACCAAATAAATTCAAATCAAATAAAATCAAAGTTCTTTTAATGGCCTTTAATAAAACTCATACAGTGCGAAAATTCTGTGTGAAAAAATAATGATGTTGATTTTTATAAAAGTATTTCCCCTTGCAAGGATAGGCAAGTCGAATGGCAACCAACAGCATTGGTGCAGATGGTGCGATTGCACCCCCTAAATTGTATGAGTGCAATTTCTAGGCACCTAGAAGTATTAGGGAGCTTTTGATTGCACGACGACAGTTGGATGTAGAAGGTAATGACGTCACTAAAAGTCATCTACGCATGCGAGAACGTTAAGGTGACCTCGTTGAGTAGATTCTGGAAGGCAATTTTGCCAGAATCTACTGTACGTATGCAGAGAACGTAGGACGCCAGGTAGGATGGTCATGCATAGTGATTCCGTTCTAGCGTTGCGTCGTCGCACAAATTGAAAGCTCCTTAATATTAACCCTGATTCTTCAGTATCAAGCTTGGTTCTGGTGGTGGAGCAAGTCCTTTAAAAAAAATACTGTTACTATAAATCATACAGTAGGCCCAGTGTACACAATTGCTCCTGTGCTCTTCAAAGAACTCAGCACATCTTGTCAGATGATTGAAGGATTACCCCGATGTAGTGGTCCTTACATATGTTGGAGAGTAGTTGGTTTCGGTTTACCGTGTAGACAGACATGAAGTTGAGCTACGTTCACATCAAGCCCAGATTCCGGTCTGCAGTCCGGAGAAAAAATCGTGAAAAATGGGTTCAGTGGTAAAGAATAGGACCGTTCACATCAAATTTGTTCGATTTCTAATCCGGACTCTGGACCGATGGATCTGAGACCATTTCTATCCTGAAATTGTACATTTTGTTTTTTCTTGGACCAATCAGCAACAAGCTTGGTTGGTTCGAACCAATTGAACGCTTACGTACTTAACCCGAACCACCGTGTTTCGTGCGCGATGTGAACTAAGCGTTAAAAAATCATAGCAGACCTCGATTTTTTGTCCGGGCTCCGGACCAGATCCAGGGCTAGATGTAAACGTAGCTTTACTGTACCTTCTTGCTGGAGATGGAAGTTATACTGTGCGAACTACTGTACAGTAGTCCATGCCTACAGTAGTTGGGCCTATTCAATGCTGTTTTTAGCATTTTCTTTTGAGAACATGTTATGTGTTTACATTTATGATTTATATTGTTTAAAGACATTATTTTAATATACTATTCTGTAGGGCTTCCTCTTGGATTGTATAACTGCTTGGAAGACAGTAAGCTGCAATCACCTGGAACTTTGCTAATGTGTGCTGCTCAGTAACTTGCCTTTGAAAATAATCGAGAACCACCATGCTGTTTTATGTTTTAGGAATTGTTTTATTGCAGGGTAAGAGAAATTTTTGCAATACACTTGTATCTTATTAACGTATTATTTTTTTTTCATTGATTTCAATATTTATATAATAATGTAATTAAAGTTGTGGAAATAATACATTTTTGATTAGATATTGATTTGATTTTGACTTGATAAAGGTGTAGGCCTAACTGTAGTCTTCCAATTAAAAGAAGAATCGACACAGATGTTGCTGTCAATTTTAAAATGACAAAAGAATATTTTGTTTTTAAAATGAGATAATTTTGAATAAAGTTATCATCTGGAAAAAACAAAACCACAATCAGTATTGATGTGATAATAGCCTTCAAACTAATGTCTCTTACTGTGAAAAGTGGCACACTTGTATGACCCCTGACCTGGGCTTGAAATAATATGAAACTGATGAGGTTTAGCTCATCCCTCTGGAATGTATCAGTAACCTCTGAGTTGCTTTGGATTATTCAGCCTCCTCCAATAGAAACTAGGTCATCTTCCTCTCTTCGTCTTTACTGTCATATCATGCAATTAGGCCAAATTAAAATTGAATTAAAATTTTTGAACATCATATCTAAAAAAATATTAAGGGACGGGGATACTCATCAATATTTTTTATCCACTGTCTTACATAAAATGAAAACTCTAGATTGCTGCTACTGTATGTTATTAGAATTTAATGTAATTTATTTTATTTTAGTTTAAAAAAATCACCATGATGAAGACTTTATAAATATTTAAATAGAAAAATGTTATCTAATTGCATAATTTAAAAAAATCATCATAGTCAATAATTGAATATTAATCAAGGTTAAAATGATTTCCTAAACAAGTTTTCAGATATTGTCATCAGTTCCCATGCTAAATGATGGTTGCTTTTGTTGTATTATTTGACAAAGTTTATTGAAAGAAGACAATAGAAAGCCTACCGGCATAATCTTGCAACCCGATATGTAAAGAGGAGGCAATGAATCAGAAAAGATTACTCCCTAAAATTGATCAAATCAGTTCGGAAGTTCTGCTTAATAGGTTTTGGCTTCCTCACCAAGATTCAATAGTTTCCTATGTGAAATATTCTCAAGCAATAATCTATGTTCAGCACACTCTAAAATCAAAACCAACCATAATCTAATGGTAGTAGCTGCAGAGTACAGCACCACTAGTACTGTTTTTTGGGTAAACTAATATTAAATACTGACATTCATATTCTGTCAATGTGATGAAGAATGCACACTTGAAAACAGTAAAATATTTGTAGACCATGTAAAATAAGTATTAATATAAATCCAAAACTGTTGCAGTATTCAGTATAAATTTATTTTGTCATTTAAAATATATTTTACATTGAAATAAAATTGCAAGATTTCACTCATAGATAAATAAACAGTAAGAATAGATAGAAAACAATATTGGGTAATAAACTATCCCCCGCCGGAGTCAAGTTTTCGGGGCTTGACAATTTATATTGTGATTGTAATGGCAAAAAACTACTATACAAGGTAAAAATATACCCCTTGGACACCATCCCACAGATAAGGCCTATAGATATAATTTTATTTTAATTGAATATTTTTATACAGGTAAATTACCTTAAGTAACCAAATATTGTATATTTCATATAAATTTTAACTGATCAAATGTTTGGAATGCATGTCAAATTCTTATAAATAATATTTGATATTTATTAACGTACTTTAGATCGGTGGCACTCAAAAATCATTTGGTGCATTCAAAATGAACCAAAATAGACGAGTTAAAATTCTTATCTACAAGTACATAAAATAACGAAATTATTAAAAAAAAACATGAAATTCATTATAAAATAAATAAACACAAGTAGTAATGCTGCTGATGAGGCAGATAGCTTCCCGAAAAACATGACAAGGAATTACAATTGCATGAACAACATGCTTCACTTGTCAAAAATTTCAAAGAGCCATCATTCTGTACCATCAATGAACTCTACAATAAAGTACCGTAATCAAAACTTATCAACTACAAAAAAAATATCATTAATACAGTTACTTAATCTACGATAAAGTTTGTAAATGCTTTAGTTCAGACCTTTTTCTCCACGCTCGTTATCCATAAATTTTACAAAATTCATTGAAGCATTTCTCTACTTTGGTCAAGGCAAGAGTAGTAGAGGCTAAGACATAACTTAATTTAATATTAATGTAGCTCATTCAAAAATTGATCCCAAACATCAATGTTATGACTATTTAATTTATATTCAAGTTTATTAAACTCCTCTAAATGTATGTTTAGGAGAGGGGAGCAGGAATTCTTGTGCTGAATGCCTGCACTCTTTTTTTTCTTTTTTTATAAGAACCAGCAACATTTTTGCCGAGGCTCAGTGTTCTTATTTTGTTGCCAATTTCAGGCTCAAAATGATCTTATTTTGTTCTTTTTTAGATGAGATGACATTACTTTACTGGAATAGATATAATGTTGATATAATCTTTTTAAACCTATTAATACTTTACTGTATGTGATAGCTGGATTTGTTGTTTTTCAGGTTTTTTTAATAAAAAAACTCATTTGGTATTTTATCTCAGCCTAAATTTGATCTTAGTTTGTTCTTATATTTTAAATGATTTCAGCATGGTGTTCTTATAAAATGTGTTTTATAAAAAAAGTGTAATGTTCTTTTTCCATGCATTGCTGGTAGACAGTATATAGGAAGCAAGGAGAATGGAAACCGCAGAGTGAATAGCTAGACTCTGACTCACCAATTTGTTTTTTTTTCCTTTTTTGTTTACCTAGTTTTGACTGATTAAGAACTGAGAAAACTAATTGTGTTTACCTCTTCCAGAATAACACAAATTTATCACAAGTTTCGCTGTTATCTTGAGTCAAATAGTATACTGAATTCATTAGATATTTTAAAACCTCATTACAATTATTGTCTAATGAAATCTAGAAAAAAAAACCCTCAGTAACTTCAATTTTGAATACAGTACATAAATAACTCATTAAAAAGATAAAATATGTTATTAACATTTGCTGATCGCAGACTTTTATGGCATATTGGGAACTGAGAAAACTAATTGCGTTTAATACATCTTCCAGAATAACACAAGTTTAATGACAAGTTTCACTCTTACATTAATCACAGTCAGATAATATATTCCGTATAAAAGATTAAAACATCATTATGAATATTTATTTATTTATTCTTTCTTTAAAGTGATAGTACTTTCAGTGACCTGTCCAATAAGACCTTGAAAACCCTCATTAAATTCAATTGAAAGTACTAAGTAGCTTATTAAAAGGATGAAGTATAACCTTTGCTGATCACAGACTTCAATTACAAATACAAGTTTTTTATTTACTGTAGCTCATTACAAATCATTCATATCTATAATCTTCACAGTAGACAAATTTTTAAAAATTGAAATTTATATTATAATTTGGATACAGAAAAATCTAACATTCAAGGATAGTAACTTTACTTTACCATTGTTTTTACCGGGTTGTGAGTTTCTAAGTTTAGAAGTCAAGTGTAAAATTCACAGACTATTGACTAATATAATATAGTACTTTACTATTACCTGTACAGACAGTTGGCTACAGTGTAAATGGCTGCTTTCTGGCCCCTTGTTTCAGGTCAAGGAAAAAATATGGTGAACACATTATGTAGGATCAAATTCCCAGTGATTCCCTATTTAGATTTCTACGCATAAAAGGGAACCTCTTAAGTGATTTAAAATTACTCCAAATGGTATAACATTATACCAAGGCAAATAATAAGTCCATACTTATAGCATTGAACTTTAAAAAGGTCAGAGCCTGGAAGTTACATAGTTTTTATTATTTTAGATTACATGAATGGTTATCACATTTTATCCCTGTTATTTACTATACTGTGTGTGGAAATTAATATTATTAATCTGCTTGATCAAATGAAACAGGGCGACTGTTTTTTTCAAATTAAAATAAAAACTGAGAGTAGATAGCTCTAAGACGCTGGATGTCATGGGACCTGCCAAAAATGGCAGCGCACCAATGAAAGAATGAATGAATATGTATAATATAATTAATATAATTAATAATAATAGTTGCTATTGATAGTATTAGTAAGGTAATCGACAACAATCCAGAATAATAAATCAGGATGAACTGCAAAGTGCCATTTTCAAAACAATTTAATTACTTTTCTAGGCATTACGGTACCTACAGTACAATACCAAAAAAATTAAATAAAAATAACTTGAATACTGTAGGAATCTCTACAATATTTTAAACACCTATATATTTTAAAAAATTATATAACATTAACACTCTATACAAAATTATAGGCCTGCGATAATGAACTATACAACAAAAGCTTGACTGCAATATAATGTTACATTATACATTTAATAATATTGTTGTGTGTGAACTTAATATTTGCTAACTATATTAAATTTTTTTTTATTCAAATTCTTTCTGCTTTGTTGCTCGAAAAATCATTGTAAGAATAAATTACAGGCTTAGTTCCCTTTAACTGGCGATACACTACTGTATACACTACAGAAGTTGATTTTCACCAAAGCAACACTGCCTGTTTCTTTCAAAATCTCTTGTGCTTTTCGGCAAAGTGTAAAACAGTGATATTCATCGGTTTTGTAAACTAATTGTTATTTCCCCGAGGACAGGATTTGTATTCAGTATTGCGTATTCAGTTATAAAGTATATTGTTCACAATCATTGCTGTCAACAACAAAACTGTGCTTGAGAACAGGTGGAAAAATCTTCAAGATTTTTGTGTTGAATACCTAGATGACCTCTGTACAAAAATAAGATTAATTTTTTTATTAGGTATTCAGTATGTGTATGAGAAAAAAATAATAAATTGAGTTCAGTGTTTGTAAAGTGTATGATATGAATAAATAATAAAGTTGTGATTAATGGTATACCTATAGACCAGTAAAATACTCATCAGTAAAATATTCATCAGTAAAATACTGTATGTCATTTCGTTTATGATTTACAGATGTTCTACACTAAACTTTGTTGAATTTTCTAGCAGACAATTTATGGCTACTGTGTATTGAAAAAAAGTGCATAGGAATGTTGTTATCTAGACATTACCCTTAATTGGTGAAACAATTGTTTTTCTCCTAATTTTCAGCTGAATATAACTTGATTTACATTAGTTTTGTTATTTACAAAAAAAGATTGATGATGTTCAATTTATTAGTTATAGAATATCTAATATCGAGTGAATTCAAATCAGAATTGTGCAGATACCGTATAAAGTTCAAATTTCCATAAAATTTGATGACTGTAATTTCAGTGTTTCGAAAGGTATCAATGGGTTGAAAAATGTATTTTGATGGCAAACAGTACAGTACTGTGCAGTAAAAAGGAACAAACAATCCAGATTTTAAGATTATATATCCATTTTATTTTTTTAATAGCAAAAAGCCAAATTATACAATTTTTATCAATTTTGAAGTGGTTAATGAAGTTTGCTCTAGTCAACTAATGGATTTTAATTTCTAACCGTTTATTAACTTCATTATGGATTGTTAGATCATGATGTGACATTGTGATATGACATAAATTAACTGTATCTTTTTTATTATCTATTATATCTGCAGCTTTAGGTGCCCGAAGTCAGGGAAGCTGCGAAGGCGAAAGCTGTTATCCTGCTACAGGTGATCTGTTGATTGGACGTGAAAGCCGGCTCTCAGCAACATCAACTTGCGGCACTAGTGGACCTGAACCTTACTGCATTGTCAGTCATTTACAAGATGACAAGAAGTGCTTCTACTGCGACTCCACAAGGCCTTGGAAGAAGACCGAAAACGAGAGGAGCCACCGAATCGCAAATATTGTCACATCGTTCGATATCGACCGTAAAAACAAATGGTGGCAGTCGGTGAATGGTGTGAATGATGTATCTATTAGGTTGGACCTCGAGGCCATGTTCCACTTTACCCATCTTGTGATGACTTTCAAGACATTCAGACCCGCTGCCATGATTGTGGAACGGTCCAGTGATTTTGGCCGGACTTGGAACATATACCGTTACTTTGCATATGATTGTGATACCATGTTTCCGGGTGTTCAGAAGGCACCTCTTAGGAAAATCACAGACGTTGTTTGTGAGGAAAGATACTCAAACGTAGAGCCGTCAACCGATGGAGAGGTACAGTATGATAAAACTTATTTTTGAAAGTTAGGTCCATTGGTGATGCCAGAATTTCCCTGACGGGGAGGCCGATAAGGGAGAAGATTTCTCAAGCAAGAGCAAAGTGGGCGTGGCGAACGTCGTTTAAAATGCTTTGAAAGTGGCCCATTGACAATTTAAGGGTTTAAAGGCTTATTTTATCGATTTTAGAGTCTACTATATGTATAAATACATATAATTTTTTTTTCTGACTGACGAATCATGGTTTTTCTCCCCAACGGGGGAGGGGGAAGGGGGTGGCCCTGGCTCCCTGGTCCCTGCTGGCAACACCCCTGTTTAGGTCTTCTCTTTTAATTTGCTAAGTTGGGTTTCAAATGTAAAGCTTCAGCTGTGATGGAATGAAATAAACTCCATTCAGTACGGTCCTGCGTTCGTCCATCTGCCTTCTTCTGTCTTACAAGATGACTAATCGAGTAACTGAGCGGTAAGGCACCGATAAGGCAGCGGTGTCGCTGACTGCAGCCTTGACATCGGCACTGACTCGAGCCACTCCTCAACCAGGGTTAGGCTGATAGAACTAAGTCTTCTCGGATAAGGACTTAAAATGGAGGTCTAAATGGAGGTTAAAGAACCCATTTCATCTTTTGGATGAATAGGGGGTTACCCTGATGCTATGGCTCATTTTAGCCTCTGTCGTTGTGGAATGATGTGAACATGTACTTTAGCTACTATAAGCACCACTTTCCGGTGGTGGCTAGGTAGTCATGAACCACGCCCATAGGCAATTCAACACAATGACCCTCCGAGTTATGGTTTATTCTCTTACAGTGCCTTTACATGCCTTGCATGACCTCTGTGTTTATTTTATAATACAAAGCTACTCTATAACAATAATTAACAATTTATAATGTTAATTTTTTGTATCACGTATTTGCAGGTTATCTTTCGAGTTCTTCCACCACATATCCAAAGCCAGATTACAGATCCTTACTCCGATGAGGTCCAGGATCTTATCAAGATCACCAACCTCCGACTTAACTTCACTCGTCTGCATACACTCGGTGATGTCCTGCTTGATGACAGACCAGAGATCACAGAGAAATATTACTACGCCTTGTACGATATGATTGTACGTGGTAGCTGTCACTGTTACGGGCACGCCCACCGCTGTATACCAATTAGTGGTGACATTGAGGGGATAGAGGTGAGTGCTATGTTGTTGTAATCTATTTTGTAAATGTTCAAGATATGTTGTGCTAAAGGTGAGTGCCACTGAGTTGTAATCTATTTTATAAGTATTTAATAAAGATTGTTGAGATAACAGACTTTAACAGTAGCATTCATTATTTGAACTGTGTACTTTGTGTAACAAGTTTATATGCTTTCAATTGAAATTAGATTTAGAGAACTCATTTCCGCACCAAGTAACTGATGCATGAAATAACCATTCCTAAGTATATTCTTTGCACTACCATTAAAGTTGTTGGTTGTCGGCTGTTGTGAAATGGAAAACCCTTCAAAATGCATAGCTTATTTAAAGGAATCATTACAAACTTCCAATAAGACAATTTAGTTTATAACTGATTTACATGGGTGTAGGCTGGGGTTATGGATGGGAGGTGGCATTGGAATATGGATATAGTTCCTCATTCTGGGATTAATTCCACATTCCCATTTTTCACAACCCCTTCCCCCTCCCAAGGCCAAAACCAGCTTATGCCCCTGATTTATAGCCTATTTATTACAAAAACAGTTCAATTCAATATTGATTCTACAGTACAGTATATCAAAATCATTGTTCTTCTGATGATACCTACTCATTGTTCAAACTTGCATAAATCTTAGTGGGTTATTATTGCATAGTATTTCCTATATAACTTCTGCTACTAGCTTGGATTATGGTTTCCAGTAGAGTACAGCAGGAATATTCTCACACCAAAGTAGAGTCTTTTCTCTCTTGATTGTTTTCATGACCTTGTTATGTACTCTATTTGTTGTCTGTGTGGGTGGGCTTGGAAAGCCTGAAAGAAGGTGTTGTTTTGAAGTAAGACTGAGTAGGTAAGAATTGTGTACCAGAATAATCATTAATTAAAATCTGTGTTTTGGTTGAGAAAAGTAAGTGACTTTTTGAATACCCATGGTGTTGGGTAAACTGTCATTTTCAATAGGCTTCTGCCATAACTGTTATTTAAATACCGATATCACTTCTATTTTACTCCCAACAGGCCTACTATATCTTGCGAAAGTGTACTTAAAGAAATCAGTGTAGTATAATAGCTGTAGGCCCAGTATATAGAAAAAACTAGTGACAAGATTGAATTTGTTCAAGTGTAGTGTAAGCTACTTTTTATATCCTTCCACCATCCCTTTTCTTCTTGTTTTATAACATTAACATAATTCCTGATGATGACATAATTAATGTCGAAATATTGAATCCCAACACGATGGCGTGTATTTCAATACTTGGAGTATGTATTATACTTTCTTAAACAGTCCTGGTGCCTGTTTACTCTCTTTTTGAAAGAATAGATTTTATCTTTCACCTTTATTGCACTGGAGATACATTGTCGGGCTGCCATCAAGTGAATAGCAAAGCTAATATACACAGTAGTTGTTTCGTTTAATCTAGATAAATTGTCTGTTCTCCTGGAATGGATGATTGCCTAGTCTGAATACCCTGTTTGATACTGAAGATTAACCAAAACTTATAAGGACTATCATAGGTGACCCCTATGTGACATTAGAATAAACTGTTCTATTCTGTATTTATCTTCAGACAAAAAATGAAATCGGTAGAGCTATTTTTAAACTGATACAATATGTTTAGCAATGTGATAGCCACTGTCACAGTAGAAGTCTCTTTTAAATATAGTTTCAATTTTGAAAAGTGTATCAATGAAGTACTACCAACATGAGTGAGTGAGTAACTAATTATTACTTGAATTAAGTAAATAATACAAGTCAAATTAAGCAACAGAACAGTGGAACATTTTTCCACTTGATGTAATTTTCTTTAAACTCCATGTTCCTGATTTCTCCTCGCACGCTCTGTACAACAACACAGCGTGTTTACTCTGAACACAGAACCTTAATTCCAACCATTGTTGTTCTCCATGTACCCATGGAAAGGTGTAGTGAATATAAGTTCAGATAGGAACTTGTCTAGCCTCCCAAAGGAAATGACTGTGATTTGGATCTGCAAAAATGATCCAGTTAAATTTTGGAACCTTCTCATGAAGAAGAGTTGCTCAAAAATTCAGTTCTTTTACTTGGAAAAAGGAATCGCTGAAGTTATAAAAATTTGCATAGTTCTCTTACAATTTATGCATTCTATGATTCTGTTTGAGTAATGTATAGTAGGTATACAGTAATAGAATGCAAAACATGGAGCTAATACTGCTTGCTTAAGACACAAAGTGGCGTTCAGAAAAATGATGACAAATCTAGGTACATTTTCGAGTGCCTTGCTTTTGGTTATTTTATAGATGTTTTACTGTACATAAATCTGTTTTAAAATGTCAGTTGTTGTAATCATTTTTCTGATTAATGGCAAATTAAAATCTTTAAAAATTCAATAGTATATAGGTCTATTGTTTTCTTACCCACTAGTGGTGACAAGACTGTCCATAATAAACGTGGCTGCCAATTCTGTATTAATTTTTTTAGAGATAAGAATATGTACATCCAGTTTATGGGAGTGTACTCACAAAGTATAAGAGGTCTAAAGTTTGTTTTAGAACCTTGTAAAATCTGAGAGAATTTGCAATAGGTATTACACATACTGTATAATAAATTGAGTGTCCAATCCAGTTTCCAGTTCCATAAGATTTAGAGTGATTTCAGTAGCTGAGAGGTATGATGAGAAAAACCTTAAATCATTGACAGGGGTTGAATCTAACTCCTCATTCAGATGTTCATTTGCAGGATCCAAGTCTTCTCAAATAAGGACTCCATATCAAAATGTACACTAGGCTCAATACACAACTGGCTCAGGTATATCTTAAGTAAATGATAAATTACTTCCCAATAATAGCCCTGTGTTTTATCAGAAATGGTATGTCCATAAGGGGGCTATTCATTAGTTTCGACTCTAGTACAAAACATACGCTCCAGGTGGAGGGGTTGAAAGTGTGTTGCAAGTACAGTACTCTTCTTTGAAAAAAATAAAATGTTGATCTCAAAATGACACAAATCAACATTTTATTGTACACTTTTCAGGGGGAGAGAGAGGGGGGTCACAGAGAAGAGTATGTTTTATATTATATTCTTATAAAAATGTTGAAAATTATGGACGACCCATAAACCATTACCACTTTCAGTCCTTTCCAAAATACTGTTTTATGTGGGTGTAACCTATGTGGGAGGATATTAACTTTTAGGATTTTATGTATGTATCTCTTATAAAGAGTAAATTTATTAAGATAGTATAAACCAAGGTTTTGTTTAAGACAATAAACGTGAGAATTGTCTACATAAACACCATGTCTGTTGATGATCCGATAAATAATTTGATGCCAGCTTCATAATGGTAAATGTATCCTGTTGGTGTTACCAGATACTTTGGAAGAACATTTCCTCTGGTTCCATATGTTTATGTCTAGAGGAGACTATAATTTAATATAAACCACCAATTGTCAAAACATTTTGGCTGGTATTGAACTAAATAAATATTTTTTTGTAATTTACAATGAGTTCATACTTTTAGAAAATATTGTGCAATGTGATGAATATTTAGTGTCAACATTTTCGAGTTAAGATGATGTTTTTTAGTACATTGTAAAATATTATATTTGTACAGGTTTATATTATTTTAGTTTAAATGAAGAAATACAAATAGTATTTTAGATTGGATTTCAACTTAAATCAAGTCATTAGTTTAATAGGCACAATCAATCTAGTAGGTGCTAATAAAACACAATATTAAAACCAAGATAAAGAGACGAAAGAAAATCAAAATATTTTTTATAAGAAAAAGTATAGACACATTAGTTCTATAGTACCTATTGAATATCAATCATGTTATGCCTGTAGAAATTATATTTAAAGCATGCCTCGTGAAGGAGTAATGATCTCTGATATGATATCTATGACTAGCTGTACCTAAAAGCCAATGGCATGCAACATTGGTATTTCAATTGCCAGCTTCCCTGCTCTCGTATGCTCAACAGGGAATAAATATTGACCCAATTACTTGAGTTAAGCCTTATACAACTGATCATAATGAAATTTATGTAGACATTTATTAAGAGACCCCTGGTTTAGTAAGTGGTCAAGAAGGGAGTTTTTCTAATGTGGACCATGCACTACAGTTCCATTATTTGTAGAGTTAAATTACAAATTAGGATTACTAGGGACCACAGTGGATATAAGTTATTTTTTGTACTTTTTCTGTGTTTTTATCCTGGAATGTTTTTACTATTGATTACTTTCAGAATGATTGTATAAATATATAAATAAAAATTTTAAAAAATATTAGCTACAACAATCTGTTAAACGTTAAACTACTCAAAGATTGGCTTTCACTGATTTACAGACGTTTCATTATGATAATCCTTAAAGTAATTTAACTAATGAATTTATATGCAAACAAAAGTACAATAAACAAGGAGAATGTTAAAACATTCTAAATTTTCAATTGAAAGCATCCATCTTGGAATTGCAGTCCTGCTTATTTGAAAAAAAAGGGAAGCAATTTGGTATTAAGATTATGAATATAAATAATCTATACAGTAAATGGTGTAAATATGTAAGGAATCGTTTGAATTTGAATAACCCTTTCTGATTGTGAAAATATTTTTTTGCTGGAATGACATTTTGATGGTATAGTCAGGGATTATGATAATTAGGCCTACAGTACATATTGAATTGAAAAAAATGTCTCCATATTTGCATAGTAGATTGACCTGCACAGAGTCTAGGAATGAAGTTGGTGAATTTGGGACGCCGTTTGTCAAAATGCCATCTGTCGCACACTAGGATAGCGGGAATAAATGACTGGAGCATGAGAATCTAATTAGGAATACACCTGAATGGGTGCTTACCGTATCAAAGGCACTGCTATTAATCTGCTCTTGCTCTGGTGTTTTGATGTAGTACAATTTAGTACTAAAAAAAAAAAACTTCAAATTCTTGCATCTACTTTTTTAGAAGGGGTGGGGGTGTAATATTTACAGCTGGCCAGAGGTGCACGTACCAGATTTGATCATTTTTTTGGACTCTCATGCCTAACCAGGTCTCTTTAACATGAGTTACCTTAATCACAACAATCTCCACCTTCAGTGGAAAGGAGTGTGCAGGGTTAAAAGGCCTATTTGGTTTGTATTAATATTAATAATGTTGGCCTATTATAGTGAATATTGTCAAGGCCATCACATTGAGTTGACCAATTATTACTTGATAGCAGTTTGGGGTATTGTTGAAAGCCAAACCTCTGGTTGAAGAAGTGATTTTGAATGTCTGGATTTGGTTGTTTTTCTCATTCAATAATCAACATTTTACCTAGGCCTCAATTCTTATTTTCTTCGTGACAATTTCAGCCTCAGTGTTTAATAAAAAAAGAAGTGTATGTTTCTTGTTAAAGAATATTTTATTATAAATAAATGAAACAAAGCTACGCTAATGTGGGCACAACAAAAGTCTTTCATCTGAAATTAAAAACAGACCTTCATTTTGATTAAGACTTGGGGTGGTGTCAGTTCACCAGTTAATCCTATTAGATTGAAATCTAATCTTGCCACCAATGCCATTACACAATTTGAATTTAATGGTGGACCTTTTAATCATGGTAATTATGAGGCATGGCTGAATTCTAATCTTGCTATCATGGTTCCTAAATATTTATCATCAGCGCTCTACATATTTAGAACACAAGGTAGGTACTGTATAGTAAAATCCATATTTACTGTAAGGGGGCACCTTCCGGACTAAAAATAGTGTCCCCTTATGTACAGACCAAATAAAGGGGGCATTATACTGTATGGCCATGGAGAAAATATAATGACTTTAATATATTAAATCATGAATGACCATTTATATGAAAAGGGTCCAAGGTATATATTATAGTTTGATATCTAAATTTAGAATATATTTTACTTTGAAACATATCTAATTTAATAATTTCAGCCCCATCAAGTTTATGGAAATTGTGATTGCAAACATAACACCGAAGGATTGAACTGCGAACGATGCAAACCATTTCACAACGACCAGCCATGGAGACCAGCGCAAGGACTCCAAACACATGCATGTAAATGTAAGTTGAACAGGCAACCCATTGTTCCCTGAAAAATGATAAAAAGTCATTTTTTGAATGAACTATTATTTATTTTATATATTTTTTGTATTTATTCCTGTATAAAAATGCTCAAAATACAATTCAAGATTGAAATGAAGAGCTCACAATCGAATCAATAGAGTAAAAGTACAGAAATATAAAACAATTAATATAAAGATTAATAAAAGTAAAAAGCATTGACAAACATTAAGGCCTACAGGAGTAAACATAAAAATTATTATCTTGAACATAACTGTGCATACGTTGCACTAAGTGCTCAACTCGGCGAGATAAAGAACTTTTGTGCAAAAAGTGGCAGTCTCGGAAAGTTGAGTGCAAATGTGAAATTCTTTTGTTGGGCATGGTGAGATACTGTAGCTGCAAACACACATTTTTCCATTGAAAGTTTTGAAATCAGTTTTTGTTCCAGATTACAGTTCAGAAGCATCTATAATTTTTATAAATATCATTACCCGGTATATTAGGGATAAACATTTTATAAATACACAAATTTATATGTTCAAGTTGATAATTGTTTTTGTTGCATCAAAAGGAGCAAGTTGTTTCTATTTAAATTTATTTTATGATTTTTTGGCCATCTTTCAGGGGAAAAACATTTTTAACTTTCTGTGAGCTCAATTTGATGAGAATATAATTATGAGTTAATATGATTAACCTTTCATTCATTGTAATTTTCCCTGCTGATTTAACAATGTAATATTTGTTTGTGTATGCAAATTACCATTCAAGAACAAAGGTCAACCAAAGTTCAGGCTTCAATAGCAGAAGGATGGTTACAAAGCATGAACTTCAGTGATTTGTAATGGGATAGGGCAAGGGAATTAATATTAGTACAGTGCTAAATTTAGGCATTTCAAGTTATTCTTCATATCAAAACAAAAATTGTCCTGTAGGCAGATTTCCTTTATTTATTTACTAATTTCATTTAAACTTTATAGTAGGCGCAGATCTGTTTTGAAAGGTTGACACTCATATATAGTAAAATTCATCACCGTGTACTGCACTCTGGTTGTACAGCGCTCTTTCGTTCATTAGAACCTGGGTTATTTATGCAGTTCATTTCAACCATTTTCAGGAATTTTTGAAATTATATTGCAGTCAAAAAGTGGGAAAACCAATCCCCCTTAAAAAATATGTGGGTGATGTGTCTTCTCCTTTCACCCATGATCTGCGCCTATGAGTCTTATGTTTGTTTGATATATAAAGACCCAGAAACATTTTGTGTTGTGGTAATCTAATTTGTAATCGAGAATATACCATACAGTTTTATCCTTTCTGTAGGACTTATTTTCTTAGGAGTCTCCAAATGCTATGTTCATTAAATGGATGTGGTGATATATTTTATGTGTATCATCCATTTTATGTGACAGCATACAAGGTTAAACGGTGTGGAACAAGGAACCAAACAAATTTACAAATATTTTGGCTTATCTTGTCATCATATTCCCCATTTTGTTGACACTTCTGGGGTGATCTTGTTCATAGAGCAAACCTATTGGCCCAATATTAATAAACCCAGTGAGGTAAGCACTGGCGATGACATACTAAAGCCACTCAAGTTGGTCTTTAAAAAAACACAGTAGGTCAGATACTGAATGAAGACATAAGGATGATGAACATAGCTGAAGTGTAGTAATTGTCTGATTAACTGCATGCTGTGTAATTGAGAGCTGTCTTATCTGTGTCTTTGCCAGTATGAAATGTCTTTCTTGAAATAGGGCTGTATCAAGGATTGTAATGGGGTGCGGGGATGCACAAATCTGGAATATTATTTCACCTAGAATCCAAGGTGTGGTCAAACGTCAACCCAGTTTTGGATTGCAGCTTTGGTATTTTAGGGGTTTTGAGGGCTTTATAATCAATTTCAACCTCATACACATGGAAATATATACTAGACTATTTATACTATTTTAATTAATTTTAATGATTTAAAAATGTTATGTCCCTACCCATTGACTGGGGACTATCGACTATCTAGGGCCCCAGTAATTGTCCTAGGGATTACTTTTGTGTTTTATTTTTAATGTAATACTATACTGTATGTTATTGTTTTCCTAATTTAAGCTATAGGATTATAAAATATTTGAAAATATCTAAATTTTATTTTGGCCTACTTTACAGTACACTAAATAAGTAGGCCTCCTATGTTTTTTTAATAATTGAAACATTTTAGTGCTAGTACAGTAGACTGTACTCCTACAGATTTTTACTATTGGATCATAAATTTTTCTGAGTGTTAAATGAGGGTGTGTAGTGTATGCGTTATTGGAGTTTAATGGCCTGACCTTGCACTATGATGCCTTAACATCACCCTTTCATCATAACACTGATATTTTACCATACATTTTGGTGCCATAAGTTTTGGTAACAATATTGCAGTTATGTCAACAAATCAGGTCACATTGATTGCAATTTCTCATACTTGTACATTACAGTACTGCATTTGAACATGAAGGAAATGTATTAAGATATGTATTTTGATATATTTCCTCTTGATTTTAGCTACTGAAGTATTTTGGCCAGTGATTCTTTCTACTTAGTGTCTGAGGTTTATGAGATCATTTCTCATCCCCTTGACTAATCTAGGATGTGTATATGCCTATATTTTGTCCAATAAAATACTGCCCTGCATACTTCCTGCCATGATAAAAATATTTCTAAGATAATTTAAAAACAACTTATATCTCCTTGCTATTTTTGTTGAATACACATCAACACAAGTGAGTATAGATATTAAAAATGTTTTGAAGGAGGTGGGTATTAAACATTTACCCATTCTATAGATGTCCTGACTTTTCAGTTGGTCTTCTGTGGCTACCCAGGAGCAACGTTGAGGTAATAGACAAAGTTAATACGAAAATGTTCAACTTGTTTAAAATTATGTTGGTAGCTATGGTATATTGTTAGCAACTGAAAATTCTGTAAAGCAAAAGTCTTTCATGGAAAAATGCTGGGTCAGCATACAAAGGTCAGATATTTACCAATGCTACATACAATTTTTGCTAGTTTAATCTATTAAGTCTAGTTTATGAAATATACAGTACCTAATTCGTGGTACCATTACAGGTTCCTATTTTGGCCTAACCATTGTCTTCTTATATCATGACTTCTTTCCATATTCCAGTGTGTAACTGCAATCAACACACTACAAAATGTCACTTTGACCCTGCTGTGTATGAACAAACTGGTGGAATAAGTGGGGGTGTGTGCGATGACTGTACTCACAACACCATGGGAAGGAACTGCGAGCAGTGTCTTCCATTTTATTATATGGACCCAACAAGAGACATCAGGGATCCTAACATTTGCCGCCGTAAGTATTAATGGTGGTTTTTATTTTATTCTCTTTCATTCTAATATTGTTCAGATGTACTTGTTCCTGTTAATTTCGTTCAAAATGTATAGTATTATATGCATATCTGGAGTCTGGATAAATATACTGTATTTCTTAAGGCATAAGGGTTTAATCCGAAGTATGTCTATATTGCTGTACGTCTCATTTCTTATAGCATTTTCCTTGCAATAGCCCATGTTATTATTTGAATGATGACTTTTCGCTGTCAGTTTTTTTAGATGATTGTTGTTTTTCCCATAAGCAGATATTCCTGGGCTTAACACCACCCCAAAAATATGCCAAATATTGTGTTAAGGAGGTGGCCTTATATTGTACTATGGAAGGAACAGCCATATTTGTGTAGACTTTCATGCCAACATAATGTTCTGTGCAAATATGTTATCTGTTCTGTTGCTCCTAATTGAAATTTATTTCTTTTAATTTCATACCAACTTCTTCAGTTTTTTTCACTTGCAAATATATACTGTATTAACAACAAGCAGCGTAAAAAAGCAAAGGTTGTAAACATGGCATGCAGTCATGAATGTTACAAATAGCAAAAATACAATAATAGATAGGCCTTTTTTGTAAATTGTTTCTGTTAATATCAGGCCAACATTTGTGTGTGATAATTAGCTTTGTTTCTGCTAATTTCATGTCAACATTTGTATTCAACAGTATTTGTCTCTCTTAATATTAGGCCAATTATTTGTGCTCAAAACCATTTATTAACAATATTATATTGCCCTTTCTATATTCGTTTCAAAATGCTTATGCCCCCAATATTTTTTCTCGTGCTTTTATAATAAGCAGTGACTTGCTATAACATTAGTTTGTAGGAACAAATATGAGAACATTAGGGCAGTGGTGAGTAGTACAAACCAGCTGTCTTCCATCAGAGGTTGATTAAACAGCTGCTTGTACTCCCTCCTGGAATCTTGGTAGAGAAGGTTATAAGAAAACCTCATAGAAGTAATGATTCAGCTTACAAAATATTCAGATATTGAAATATTATATTATCTTATACTTTTGAATATTTAATATTATATGAGAATGAATAGTCATGCAATAGAAAGCCATGTAGGTTGCTGTTCATTAACTTTATGGCAGTCTTCTTTACTGTCTAATGTTCCTGTTTTACAATGTATATCTCTATTTTGAAATTTTCACAGCTTAGTATACTATTACACATTTTATTTACATGTATAACTGGCTTAGAAATATTCTTTTATTAATAATTTTAATTCTTAAAATTTATTAGCTTAACACAGTATATCTTTAAATTTTAGGTGGACTCTATATACTGTAAAGTTCAATCTAGCAACTGTCTGTTTGTAACTAAGTGTGGTGGCTTGTTAAAAAGTCATCGTCAACAAACTATAATCTGTATCAACAGCTTGTGCCAAGTCCACAGGCAACTTAATGTGGAATCTAAGCAAATTTTATATGAAACCCAACACCAAAAATAACATTAATTTTTTTTGTGAAACCGACCTATAAGGCTGTACACCTGTGAGTAATACCTAGCAACAACAACAAAAAAGGTCTCGCCTACACGAAGGCACACATTTCAGCCTCGATGAAATGAACTTCGACCTCGATCAGTGTATGCAGACAGCTCTACAATCAGCTGGAGTTTGTTTTTAATTTGTGGTTTAACCCCATGGCTTTTCACCGTTACTCATGCGGTGATCAGAGATCGGACTGTGATCCAATTTTTTTTTTTTTGTGGAAATATCTTGGGTAGATTTTCAATTGACTAATAGAAAATTGATTCCAAAATGAACAGACAAATTATGTGTAGGGTTATGTTCTGATCAAATTATTTAATAATTTCCAAATATAAATATAGGCCCACTTGTATCTTTTAAAAGATATTGTAATAAATGGAGGAGTAAATTAAACATTTAGATAAGAATGCAAATCATAGCACTTACATTTTATTTTTAATAAAGAATTGAAAAAAATGGTGTTTAATGTATCAAGGGGAAGAGATATCTTGAGGTACTTCTTGATCATTGTATATCGATATATAAAATATACTAAATTTCAGTAAACTGAACTAGACTTAGGGTAAATCCTTTAATAAGCGCAGCACCAAACATGATTTTTTTCGCCAAGTGCCTCAGCGCTTATTCAAGATTGTTATATTTTCAATAAATGCCACAACGCTTAATTGAGAGTACATATTCCCCCGTGTGTAATGAAACACTTTTAGAAACGGTTTTAAATAAAGTTGTGTTCAAATGAATAAATAACACTAGTCATGCAATAGAAAGCCATGTAGGTTGCTGTTCATTAACTTTATGGCAGTCTTCTTTACTGTCTAATGTTCCTGTTTTACAATGTATATCTCTATTTTGAAATTTTCACAGCTTAGTATACTATTACACATTTTATTTACATGTATAACTGTCTTAGAAATATTCTTTTATTAATAATTTTAATTCTTAAAATTTGTTAGCTTAACACAGTATATCTTTAAATTTTAGGTGGACTCTATATACAGCAAAGTTCAATCTAGCAACTGTCTGTTTGTAACTAAAGTGTGGTGGCTTGTTAAAAAGTCATCGTCAACAAACTATAATCTGTATCAACAGCTTGTGCCAAGTCCACAGGCAACTTAATGTGGAATCTAAGCAAATTTTATATGAAACCCAACACCAAAAATAACATTAATTTTTTTTGTGAAACCGACCTATAAGGCTGTACACCTGTGAGTAATACCTAGCAACAACAACAAAAAAGGTCTCGCCTACACGAAGGCACACATTTCAGCCTCGATGAAATGAACTTCGACCTCGATCAGTGTATGCATACAGCTCTACAATCAGCTGGAGTTTGTTTTTAATTTGTGGTTTAACCCCATGGCTTTTCACCGTTACTCATGCGGTGATCAGAGATCGGACTGTGATCCAATTTTTTTTTTTGTGGAAATATCTTGGGTAGATTTTCAATTGACTAATAGAAAATTGATTCCAAAATGAACAGACAAATTATGTGTAGGGTTATGTTCTGATCAAATTATTTAATAACTTCCAAATATAAATATAGGCCCACTTGTATCTTTTAAAAGATATTGTAATAAATGGAGGAGTAAATTAAACATTTAGATAAGAATGCAAATCATAGCACTTACATTTTATTTATAATAAAGAATTGAAAAAAATGGTGTTTAATGTATCAAGGGGAAGAGATATCTTGAGGTACTACTTGATCATCGTATATCGATATATAAAATATACTAAATTGCAGTAAACTTAACTAGACTTAGGGTAAATCCTTTAATAAGCGCAGCACCAAACATGATTTTTTTCGCCAAGTGGCTCAGCGCTTATTCAAGATTGTTATATTTTCAATAAATGCCACAACGATTAATTGAGAGTACATATTCCCCCGTGTGTAATGAAACACTTTTAGAAAGTTGTGTTCAAATGAATAAATAACACAATGAAGACACAAGCATACTTTTATTTACAATGATATAGAGCCTATGATAGGCCTAACAAAATACCAAAATACTTGAGATATTTAACATGGAAAGTGCCATGCCAATGTTTTTTGATAAGTGGCACTCTTAAAATAAATTCGGAACTGAAACCTCCAAAAAATGTATAAGCACGGCAGCGTTTTTTCGAGGATTTACGGTAGAAATTACGAAAGGTATTTTTGCTTCAAATAATAACTTAACTTTAATGGCAATGTAGCCTATACATGTTCATTCATTTGCTATTGTGTTCCTAATTCTATTCCATGGTATAAAGTATACGTACATACAGAGATGTAATTATCGTGGGCGGAGGTGAAGTTCCCACCCCCCTCTCCCATCCCCAGTCTAAAGCTAATTTCATGGCCCTTCACCCACATTTAATTAACCTCCTTGCCTATCCTTAAAATTCACTCAATTATTATCTAGAGTTTAACAATGTTATCACCCATCCACCCTTAAGATGTCTACCATCCATCCTTAGTTTTCTGTAGCTACAAGTTCAACCCTGTACATAAGAATAGAAGATGGTCGCTAAAGGCTTGGTGGAAATGTTGAATATGTGCACTGCTGCTGAGATATGTTGATTCAGCCTATGATATGGCTATTTGTACTTCAATGCATTTTTGACCTTACCAGAAGTTGTCAGGTCTGTTGTGTTATGTGCTAAAGCACTACAGGTATTTACGTATTTCTACCATTCCTACCACCGCCTTCTCCCCTCCCAAATCATATTCTCTTCCCTCCCTACCACATTTTCTTTTTTTCCTACTATAATACTCTCTTTATCTCATAACACATTCTCTTTTGCTTAATATTTCTTTACATCACCATCTTATTTCCTCTCACTATTTACTTCCCTACCACATTGTTTGTTCCCAACGCACCACATTGTTTAATCCATCACAGTTTCAGCTCCATTACCACATCCTTCTACACCTATTTTCCTTTCCTACCATTCTTTTCCCATTCTAACTACGGTATATTTTGTCCTCCACCACATTCTCCCTTTCCCACAGACTTCCTATCCATGTGTCTTATGTTTTAACCTTAAAGTTATATTTGTGAAAGTGAATAGGGAGTGCGTAAACAATATTTATTATACTGTTGATATTTTTTGTACCAAGGCTGTGACTGTGATCCTAATGGTTCTGAGATGGGCGGTGAGTGTGAGAGCAGGTCAGATCCGATGATGAATCTAGAAGCGGGACGTTGTCTATGTAAACGTTATGTGACTGGCCAACGATGTGATACCTGCATGAACGGTCATTGGAATTTACGACGTGATAATCCGGAAGGCTGCGAAGGTAAGGAATTGTGTTGACAGTCAGTGTTCTCTCCAGTTAACCATGGGTATCATTTCTTAATTGGAGTGGAGTTGAATAGCCTAGTGGTTAAGGTGCTTGCCTACTAATTCCATGATCCTGGGTTCAATTCTGTGACAGCACGACTAAAAACACCTCCACTCCCTAAGCCTCATAAAAAGACCTAGCTGATAAAAGTATCACATTAATTCATTTATTTCCCAGAATGTGATATGCTGGAAGGGGTCACCCTCTATATGGTTAGAAAAATATGTACATCCTTATTTTTAACATTATGTAGCAGCTCAACTGACTTGGGCTTTCTTACTGATGAGATCAGGAGCTTTGATTCTGCTTTGGTTTAGTAATTAATTTAGTAAATTATCATTAAGCATTACGTGGAGGAGGGGATCACAGAACAGAGAAGAATGGCAAGTTGATGAAGAGGCTTTCCTCTTACAGTGGAGCAAAATAGCTAGATGATGATGATGATGATGATTATTAGGCAAACCACCATGCTGAGCATGCCAGGATATCAAAAATTTTGTCCAACAGACTGCCCTGATTTTTAAAAATGTCACTGTGCTAGGGCAACACATTTTTATGGCCTTATTGTCACTCGAAAATAAAATGAATTTGTTTGACATCTCTAATATTGCAGCCTGTACTTGTAACACATTGGGAACTATTGGTAATCAGGGCTGTGACAAACAGACTGGAAACTGCGTATGCAAGCGTTTGGTTACCGGTAGAAGTTGTGACGAGTGCTACGATAACTTTTACGGACTGAGCGATGACCCAGAAGGCTGCCAAAATTGTGACTGCAACCCAGGGGGCTCGTACAACACGGTGTGCGACAAAATCACTGGACAGTGTCCGTGTAGACCTAACATCATTGGTCGACGATGTGATACAGTGAAGCCAGGTTACTTCATCACATACATGGATTATTTATTGTATGAAGCCGAGTATTCTAGACTGTTGGGTGTTCTTGTAAGTTTGATTTCTATTTTTGTTGAGATGTAAGCCAGACTGGTCTTCATATTTTCTCATAATGTAATCTATCCTATTTACAGCTTCAAAAAGGTTTTTTTTTTTTTAATCAGGGAGAAATTGAGAAACGTGTACAGCCAATTGGTGTTGTTATTACTTGGACTGGAACCGGATTTGTGGAAGTCAAAGAGGGCAGTATTCTTGAATTCAACATCGATAATATCCCATACTCAGGAAATTATGAGCTACTTATAAGATATGAACCACAGGTAAGTATTTTATTTTATATAGATTTAGAGAATCATTTCAGTTTTAATGCGTCTCGGTCTCGCAGGGTTTTCATTATCAGTTTTTGCAAATGTTTGTGTATAGGACTGTAAGCGAATGTGGTTAGATCTGTAGTGGCGCTTGTATGACAGTCATAGAATTTAGCCCTCAGACTTTGATGAGTGAATTGATGTCGTGACAAAAATATATCTCAAAAAAAATTTGAAATTTGCTTTAATATGAACATTATAAATATCTTAATATGGTCATTATCCTGTTATAAGAATGTTGCTGGAATGAAAAGTATATAGACATGTTCTTATAGGATAGAGGTATCTGTGCAAAATATACTGATAAGAAGAGTGATGAAAACATTTTTTCTTGATGATTTTGCAAATTTGGTATATTGTTTAATCTATAATAAAAATGATAAAGAAGACTATATTGTGGATTTAATGATAATGTTAATTTTTTCATTATATATTTTTTAAAATCTATAAAAAATGATATTTTATGGAAATAAAAGTTTTGATGAAAGTCTGAGCCGAAATCTGAGACACATTGTGCTCAACGTTAGTTGAGTATATTTTATAATGGATTCTTTTACTGTCTCATAAATAATTTAATTAGTATTAATGCAGTGATATGGATTAATATTGCATTTTTTTCTTTAATAAAACTATTCCAGATATATTTTTAAGTAAGTACAAGACTTGCATATTTTAACAAATTTTATGGACAGCATGGGGAATGCATTCTGGATATCATGCATGCTACAGTATATTTCAGTGGTTTTTGTGCATTGTCTGCAACATAACTACTGTAAAGTAATGGACGTTTCACATAGTTTGATTGTTTTCACCGAATGTTGAATTTCAATGCTCAACTCATGATTATATTATGGAAGCATGTTATTGCCTACTTTCACATCTATTTCTTGGGAATCTTTCACAAACTGAAATGAACTATGAATGAAATTTGTGTCCAATCCAACATATTAATCTACGATTCCTAATTTCTATTATACACACAACAACCGTCTTCCCTCCAGCAGAGTTTCAATCAACGCTCTCTATAACCAAGTCTGTTCGTGAGGCTTCGGGAGTGGAGAGAAGATTCTATTTCTTCCCCCTTACTGTAGCCAGTAATTTGGGATCCATGGTGCTCTATAATCAAGTGTCCTTACAATGCTGTATTTGCAAGTTTCTTTATGAGGTTTAAGAAGTGGAGGGCTGATCAGTTGAGACAATCGATAACCTTTAACTGAAGTGTGTGACCAAGGGAGTGAATTTTTAGTTTTTGGTAGAATAAAAATTCTTGGTTTTTTTTTTTTTAAATAGGAGTACAGTGTACAAAGAACCTGAGGTTTGGATGTCAAATATCTAAATCACACATTTTCACTCTTTATTCTCTTTGTTAAACTTTGATCATCTGTATCTTAAGCGTTTTTTTTCATGGTTCTATTTTACACATATTCATGTTTCATATATTGTTTTTAAGTATGTTGGCATTTATTCATTTTGATATCGAAAATCAAAATTTGTTGTAAGGAAACAATTAATTATATAATAATTAACCTATTTATTTATTCAAAAATACTTCACAAAAACATCATTTGGGTGATGTGATTCAGTCCCTTAAACTTGAGGTTAGAAATTCATTATCCCTTTAATCACTCGCTTGTGTCCTTGAGCTAGGCACTTCGTCCACATTGTCTTTTTCTATCTAGGAGATGTGTAGGCTACTTGGTAAATTTGACTGTTATACTACAGTATTATTATGTAATGCTTACCCAGAGAGCTGAGTATGTGTTCTATAGAAATTTGTTCTAAAGACTGTGTTGTTATCAGTGTCAAGCACCTAGGGACATTGCAATAATAGACCATATAAGACTGACAGGAAGCTTGGGAAAAGGTAATGGAAACCCGCTTAAAGATGTACTATCAGTCAAAAAGACCGGAAAATACCTCAAACATTTAAATGAAATTTTGAATAGCTCATTTGAGATCAAATAAATTATTAGCTTCAAATGAGAAACAAAAATTAAATTTTGAGGTTCCATATGGTTGAGGTATTTGTTACCTTTGCTAGCAGGTACCTTGCTGTCATGGAACCATTATCACAACATTTAGCAATAATTTTTTTTATTTTCCACACAGTTGCAAGCTAACTGGGAGAATATTAGAATTACCCTTGTACGACCACGCCCTGTTGACACCAGCAGTATATGTGGCAACACCATCCCATCTGAAGATCAGCTAGCGATTTCATTGTCGTCAACCAACAGGTAAATAGCAGCATAATTTATTATGGTCAATGTCATTTCCAATTCTATCACCACAATCATTATTTCCGTCATCAACTACTAAACAAGTTTTCATTCTTCCACTTTTTTGGTTTTTTTTCTGTTCTTTATTCTCCTCCTTTATTCTCATCACTACCACAATAACATGTTGATATATTTATGTTTATTTTTTATTTTTTTGTTATGTTGATGCAGGTATCGTTCTACCTACCCGTCAGTGTTGTGTTTGGAGAGCGGGGAGCAGTACACAATACGGATTGAATTTGAAAGCCTCATCACCGGGCAGTCACGGCCAAATGCTGTTATTCGTATTGATTCAGTAAGTGAGCTACCACACAGTTGTGGCTGTGTAGAATGTCTGTCACCCTCAATTACAGTACCAAAACTAAGTTTTTTTAATGAAAAATTTATTAAAGTAAAGAGACCAGTAATGCTAGAGTATGCACTGTAATTATTCATATTCATTATATATTTATATCCTTTGGTCAAGGAACTATATTTATATCCTTTGGTCAAGGAACTATATTTATATCCTTTGGTCAAGGAACTATATTTATTTGTTTTTATCAAGGAATGTAAATTTGTTACTGATAAAATTTTTATTACACAAGAGAGCAGCTTAGCTCAGTCAGCTCAACTGGTGGCAGCTACTGTTTGTGCTTTGAACTGTGGAGGTCTTTTAGTCTCCGGTTCAATTTCCATTGCTGCTGTCTTTATATTTCAGCTAGAGTACTTAAGTGCAAGTTAAGCTAGAGCACTGTCTTTCGGATGATGGTCCGGCTGTGTGCCTTATGCCCATCTAAATGTTAAAGAATGCAGTAAACTCTTTGGAAAAGAGTAGGGCATTGTTTCCTGGTGTACTACCCAATCACCACCAGAAGATCCCCCTGGAAATATGTCTTCAGACTTGGTGACCCTTGGTGTTTAGACTGAATAAATCCATCCATCCAAATGTATTGATCTATCAATATTTTGCGATTGTTAAATTTACATTCTTTATTCAGATTGCATTGCTACCGCAACCAGTCAACCTGCCACCTTTCTCTGAAGGTAACACAGGGTTATATCGCCTTGAACAGTGGGAGTACTATACTTGTATGGATTCATTCTACAGGGTGGATAAGCAAAGTCTACAACAAGTTTGTGAAGAACTGCTCTTCATCATATCCACTATCACATACAATGGAGGCATTGGTAAGGAATTGATAGATAGTAATGATGATGATTTTACATTTATTTTGTGCATATTGCATAGTGCCTTGTTGTGCATTACACCTATAAAAAATAGCATTCGTTACTGTATTCACTACACTCAAATAGCTTTCTGGCTAGTCTACATGTTAGCTAATAGGGAGACTTTTTTTTAGTACAAATCATAATCCTAGGACGATTGTAGTCGTTCGTGACCACTTTGCATTTTCTCTAGAGCTTAGGTTTGATCTGAACCATGATTACTCTCTTATATATTTATGTCTTATATACCATTGTCATGCAATTGAAAGTGCTCTCATGTAGAGAATAGGAAAGGGATGACAAAGAATAATTTGTTCAAAAAATTGAATACAAACATTATCATAACATTTTTTACTCTGGCATTAATGTTTTGATTTTCATTACCAACAAGTATCAATGATTTAAATTTGCAGATTGTGCTTGTGATCCTACGGGCTCAACGAGTAACATCTGTGCAGCAGTCGGCGGACAGTGCAGCTGCAAGCCAAACGTTGTTGGAAGAACCTGCGACCGATGTGCACCTGGTACTTTTGGCTTTGGTCCAAATGGATGCACAGGTGAGTTTATTATGCCTGTGAGAGTGTGGAATGAGAAACCTATAATGTTGGTTCTTTCTGAGACTGTAACTTCATCCCAGAGTAGCATTTTGCACTGCCATGTAAGCTGTTTTTGTGTCCTTTCTTCTGTGCAGAGGTTTGGATAACAGTAATCAAGGTCGTGTCTCAATAGATATGATTTTGTTGCATTACATTTTGTTTTCGTTACTTTAACAATATTGAAACAGTAAATTAAAAATTTTGTTTTAACAGCGTGCGCGTGCAACATGGGTGGGTCTAAAGCGGAATTCTGTGATTCAGCAACGGGAATATGTCCATGCATGCCAAATGTGTGTGGACGCAACTGTGACTCTTGTTGCTCGGGATACTTCAACTTCCCAAACTGCCAAGTGTGTACATGCAATGGGCATGCCACGGAGTGTGAAGCAGTTGGGGGCGCTTGCCAGCAGTGTCAAGATAATACAGATGGATTCTATTGTGAAAGGTATGTACTTTTTGATATTTGATTTCAACAACATAAAAATATTTAAAAAAACATACAATCTTTCATCTGAATTGCTTGAATAACCTAACCAAGTTGATAAAGTATATTTTTTACTCAAATCAATTTCTATTTATGCGTTGTCCTTTGGTTGCACCTTTAAAGCGTATCCCTTAAACTTGAAATATGTGTGTTGTTTCCATAGGTGTCGGGATGGATTCTATGGTGATCCAAGAATTGGAACTGGACAGAGGTGTCAGCCGTGCTTGTGTCCCAGTGGAGTACAGAGTGGAATTCAACATGCCAACACATGTTACCTTGACAACCAGACCCAGACTGTTATTTGCAACTGTTATCCAGAGTTTGATGGTAAGTTTAATCTGTTGCATAGATAACATGCTTTAGCAAAAGACCAAATAGTCTCCAACCTTCTTCTATGCAAGCCTGCATACTCTCGCAAAAAGGCATTCCCTCACATTCCCAGACACCATAGTCGGAGACACTGAACTCGAGGAACTGTGTGGAGCAATAAGCAACAGAACATTCTGGAAAACTGTTGTTAGTACCCTCTTGGCTGCGGGCTAAGGGTAAGGTAATGGCTCTGTCACACCTTGATAATTTAGCCAGTGTATGCCGATGTATGAAAAATTTGGCGAATACACTGGCGTATGTTGAATAATGTATAGTGTGGTTATGATTTGAATCAATGAGTGGTAGCCTTTTTATAGGCAACGTCACACGATTGTCGACGATCTGTGCATAAGTTAGACTATCAATGGGCATAAATTGTTAACGCCAACAACAAGCAAAGCATTCATTGGTATAAGTTTTCTAGAAGTTATCAGAAGGTTCTATGTAAGTTACTAATACGTTATATATATGCAATGTATACACCCAAAATAAAAAAATAAAAAATTGATAGTTCAGCGTATGCCAGTGTTTTAGATAAACTTTGATACGTCGGCATACACTGGCTAAATCGTCAAGGTGTGACAGGGCCATAAGGCTATAACTTCTTGTTTTAAAGTGAAAAGTGCTTTTTCTTATCTGTGGTGTATCTACAAGTGGGCTAAGTATAGTAGAAAACCATGAGTTAAAGTTGTTTTATAATTTTAATTATTAGTTATTAATTATTCCATCTCTTTGTAATTATTATAGGAATTCGTTGTGATCGTTGTGCAAACAACTACTACGGGGATCCAACTGTTTTGGGCGGCGGTTGCAGCCTCTGCGACTGTAACGGTAACACTGATCTCTCCCTCCCCGGTAACTGCATGGCAGAGACGGGTGAATGTACCAACTGTCTATACAACACCGCTGGACCACATTGTGAAATATGCGCAACTGATTACTATGGAGATGCTCTTCTGAGAAGCTGTAGAAGTAAGAATGATTATAATCATTATCATAGTAATCATAAGTTATCTTCAAAGTCATATGAATCAGTCAAATACACTGTTAAAATTGGCATCATTATTTAATGCTTAGGTTTAAGACTAATACATTTTTAAATTCATCTTTTGTTAATTTTCCTAGATTATGGGAACAACTTCCTAATGAAATTAAACAATGTACATCCATTTCGGACTTTAAAGCCCAGCTCACAAAACACTTGATCTCAAAATATTAATAATAATAACTATTAATTATCTCTGTTTTTCATTTTGTTATAGTTAAATCAATTTATTTTTTGAATTTACTTTTTGTATATATCTATATTTTATTGTCATTGTATTTGTTTTTGATGATGGAGTAAGAGCAGTTTAGTGTTTGGGCTTATGCCTATTACTTACTCCTGGCAAGAATATTGTATGTATACTTCTTACTTTGCCGAATAAATATTATTATTATAATAATTGATATCATTTTATAAGAATTTCTTTTTTTGTATTGTTCATTAATCATTTAGTTATTATTCACTTTGTCCTCATTTGCATAATAGTCATTATCTTTTTATCTTCATTGTGATTATCATTGTCATAAGTAAAACAAACCATTTTATAATTAGTTTGTTTACTTAATGTAACTACCGACATGTCATCTTTAGAAAATAATTGAGTCATGATGCTAAGTTTCAAAAAAACTTTCCTTTAACTTTGCAGAATGCAGTTGCAGTTTCCTAGGAACCGACACAACTGTTTGTGATTTCGAAAATAACTGTGGAGTATGTAACAGGGTTACCGGTCAATGTCCATGCCTGCCAAATGTGCTTGGGCGTCAATGTGACACATGTGAAGAAAACTACTGGCGTCTGGCTAGTGGGATGGGCTGCGAGGCCTGTAACTGCTGTCCACAAGGGTCTGTTTCCCTACAATGTAATGAGGTAGGTTATCATAATCTGGTGTATCTTAACCATTGGTAGCAGTTTGGTGCAGCGAGAAAGATTTGGTTTTCCAGCATCGTGGTCTGGGTTTCAATCCCTCGCTGTGCATTTCGCTTGTGCCCTTAAGCAAGGCACTTTGTATGCGTTGTTCCTCTCCACCCAAGAGTGTAAATGGGTACCTGAGGAGGTTCGGGTGCATTATATATATTTCATGCGGCAAACTATGGAATTTCCCCCATATGCTTCATTTCAATGATTTGTGTAATATTGTGGAATAGTACTCTTGAGACTTAAGTGTAGAGTGATATAGAAAAAAACGTACATATTATGTAGAGTGATATAGAAAAAAACGTACATATTATTGTTGTTGTTGTTGTTGTTGTTGTTGTTGTTGTTGTTGTTGTTGTTGTTGTTGTTGTTGTTAGTATTACTAGTATTATTATTGTTGTTGTTATTATTGTTGTTATTATTATTATTATTATTATTTATTATTATTATTATTATTGTTGTTATTATTATTTACTTAGTACATTCCTATTTCTCAACACAGTTCAGCGGTCAGTGCTCTTGCCAAGATGGTTTCGGTGGGCGAGACTGTTGCAGTTGTCAAAATCTTTACTTTGGTGACCCATTAGACGCAAACATTGGATGTACACGTTAGTATTGAAATCTAGAAGTGGTTTGGTGCGGCACTAAGAATTTGGTTTTTCGAGGTTGGGGTTTCAATCACCCACTTTGTATTTTATTTGTTGCTTTGAGCAAGGCACTTTATCTTCCTCCCAGGAGTAAAAATTAATGGGGTTGCCTGCTCCTACGCCGATTACAATACAGCAGTAAACATAAGCATGTTGACCCAATAACCCGTGGAAAAAAAATGCTTCATATCTGAAAAGAAAGGTGTAATATAAATAAACAAAAAAATAAAATTATTAAATGTAATTATACATTTTTTGTATTGTAGTGTACATTGTTAAATAGTGGTTAAAAATAAATATTCTGTACGATTTAATTACAGCGTGTGATTGCAATCCTGATGGTTCCGATGTTTACCAGTGCCGTAATGATGGCACCTGTGTGTGCAGGGACCGTGTGACTGGAGCCAAGTGTGACCGGTGCGCGATCGGAACCAAGGGCAACTTCCCTTACTGTGATCCATGTGGGGAGTGCTACGACAACTGGTTTTTGATTATCCAAGAGCTTAGAAGTATGTGTCTGATTTATGAGAAATAATGACATTATCTAATTTTATTTATTTTTTTATTAATTTGTTTATTTTTTATTTATGTTATTTATTTATTTTATTCATTCATACATATATATTTATATATATATTTATATATGTCTACTTTATTTTTTGTATTTAAGTGGTGACTTATTATATGATGTATTATATTAATTAAGGAGGGCACATTTGCTTCCCTTTGTGGATGTTGGAAGGGTTACCTTTAAATATTTATATATATGTTTATATATGTCTACTTTATTTTTTGTATTTAAGTGGTGACTTATTATATGATGTATTATATTAATTAAGGAGGGCACATTTGCTTCTCTTTGGGGATGTTGGAAGGGTTACCTTTAAATATTGTTGAAATAAAAAATTTAATTTAATTAAATTAAATGGTCAATTTCTTACACACTATATAAAAGTTCATTCATAGAGGTATAAATGTCCTTTTCTAAGAGAATTCAGAATAATTCTTTTTAAAAGAAATCTAATCAAATTACCCCTCCCTAATTGATGTCCCAAAGAATGCTTTGTGATTCAGAAATTTCACTATTCTCTTTTATGTTTAATCTTGTAAATACTAGTTGAAACTGATAACCTGATAGCACAAGCTGCAAACCGTTCATCAAACTTCACAAGTGGGGCATTTGCAAAGAACTTCACCATCATCGAAAAAAACATGCAGGAGATCCGCGACATCCTTGACGGATTCGGTAACAATACAGGAGATAGGCTTGAAGAGTATGAAGAGGCTCTTCGTCAAATCCAGTAAGAATCGTATTAAAGAACACTATTTTTCACACTTGTGCATAGGTATGAATGCATATGGCGTATGTAGAATTAGGGCTGCAGGCTTTTGGCTGTAATGCCGAGCAGTCACTCCGTTGTACGTCAGTTGTATGGCTGTTGGGCTACAAATTCAACTCTGCTCCCTGTGAACAGAGGTAGCAGACGCAGCGCCGTCTGCTGACTGTCGGTAGCAGTCTGAACGGATCGTCATTTAAAAAGGATCCGTTGTGCGCGCGTTGCCCCTTTGCGTTATCCATCGAATCACATCGATTGTCCAGCGCAGTTAGTGCCCGGCTTTTTGATTGCGGTTCTGGTCTCATACTGACTCCTTGTTTGCAACTTCTTTCTCCACTTTGAGAGAAAGCACGTACTTGGTTAAATACAGATGCTCTGATTACTCGCTTCAAAAAATTCCCATCTCTAGGTTTTTTCAGTATTTTATATACTTTCTAAAATGTACGTCTTATGTTAATGTACATGTATGCATACAAACAAGTATTGGGGTGGAGTTGTTTTTGGCAACAAGAAAAATCCTAATATTGTCATTCATTCCCATATAGAACCCAGGAATTTGGTGTATAAGGCAATCACTTGAAATTTTTTTATTTTTCTTTTGAATTTTTACAAATTCGTATTTACCTAAGAGTATTAAGAATTTTAATGAGCTTGTATTTTCTGTTTCAAAGGCGAGAGCTTGAATCTAACGCAGATGAGTTGGACAAGATCTCTGGACAACTTGTATTCGTAGAGCTAGACACTGAAAGTGAAAACAATCGAATTGATCGATTGAATGCCTCAGCAATTGACCTAGCTAATGACATAAAGAAGCTGGAACAAGATCTCAGAAATCTTACTAGGATTGATATTGAAGGTGAGATATACACCATTTTCGTGAAATTTGAAATGAACATTTCCGATAACCTGGCAACTACCACTGGGGGACTTTTAGAGGCCTAGCATTTCGCTCTACATACTTACCATCATGGATTAAATCAATGATGAAACTTAATTACTTACAAGTACAAATATTTTAAAAATGGAAAAAACACGAAATGTTTACATTAAAAACAAGTCTAAGTCTTAAAAAGCTATTTTAATGTTTACATATTCAGTAATTAGCAAGATCGTGTCTGTTGTCTACTTCTGCTATAGCAAAGGTTTAGCAGAGCTATCCGCTGCACGGTGCTCTATTCGTAACTAGCCAGCTGCTGAAGCTAGGCTGCTGGAAGTCCCCCAGTGAGTTGAGAGACGTTGGCGGCGCTGTTTCAAAATAAATCCCATGAAATGGTCTATAGGCACAGAAATGTGAACAGACATGTTGGGACCCAGAATATATTTTTTGAGCATAGAAGTGGTTTGGCACAGCGGGAACAGTTTGGTTTCCCAACCTTGAGGTCAGGGGGTTTGAATTCCTTGCTGTGCATTTCGCTTGTGTCCTTAAACAAGGAACTTTATCTACATTGCTTCTCTCCACCCAAGAGTATAAGTGGGTAGCTTGTGGGATTTATTGTAATAATAACTATTATGTGGGACAATGCTACTATTAAATGACAGTTCCCTTACAATATATTATTAGGTATTAATATTGTTGGTACTATTATTATTATTATTATTATTATTATTATCACTGTCATCATCATTACTATTGTAAATATATGAAGCTTGACATCACAAAACCAGCGTCCTGTCACTATTTTGAACTGAGTAATTAGCGTAAGAATGTTGCATTATATACGTTAGTACAGAGGAGCAATAATACTTTACTCATAACTCTGTTAAATGCAGAAAACTCCCTTCTGAACTTAACACAACATAACCAAAATTACATTGAACAAATTTCAGCAACAGAGATCTATTTAACAAATTTCTATCTATTCCAGAGGCGCTTAAAATCATTTATGAAAGTCGTGATAGGGCGAATGCTGCACAGCAGAAGGTAAATGGTACGGCCAATACAGTGGCGCAGTCAGCCGGTGTCCGCCAGCAGGTAGAGGACAAGATAGCGCAGTTGAGGACTCAGTTCAATAACGATCTGGATGGCTACAGACAACGTGTAGATGCTGTTGAAAATGATATCCAAGATTTGGAGCAAAGAATCATTGATCTTAATACTAAGGTACTAATGTATTAACATCTTTATTCTTACTAAGCATTCACCCCACTACAGGTTACATATGTGATAATAATAATAATAATAATAATAATAATAATAATAATAATAATAATAATAATAATAATAATAATAATAACAATAATAACAATAATAATAATAATAATAATAATAATAATAATAATAATAATAAGTGACATTTATAAGGTCCTGTACGATGAAAAGCCAACCCCATATGATCAATCATATTAAACAACAAAATACAGGTAACACAACATAATAACAGAAATTCATCCTACAATGTACAATACTTAATTGAGAAAACATATTTACAAAATTTATCATTCAATATAAAATTAATAATTTACCAAATAATAAGTGATAGATACCAGTTACATATTTGAATTCTAGGTGGAAACAAAACCTTTGAAACTGTAGAAAAGATGACAGTTAGAACTTTAAGATGCTTAAATTTATGGGATATCTAGACAAGGTATGAAGATGTTGCAAAAGAGAATAATTTTAATTTAATGTTATGAAAATTATATATTCATTAATATTGTATTTTATAACTGTCTTTGTAATCAAAAGGTATGTGGCAGCCCTGGTGATAGTTGTGGTAGTTGTGGTGGTGCTGGATGTGGCACTTGTGGAGGACTTGGATGCAACGCAGCTCTCAGCATTGCCAACCAAGCCAAAGAGAGGGCACAGCTGGCACAAAATAAGTTTGCACAAAAAGAAATAGATGCCAACAACATTCTTGGGGAAGTGCAAGGGGCTGAAGGAGAAAGCGAAGTTGCTTTAGAAGCAGCTCAGAAGGCGTATGATGCAGCACTCAGAGCGAAAGAAGACTTGGGATCAGTTGGACAGAACCTCTCCAGATTGGTAGAAGACATTATTGATGCTCTGAATGATGTCGATGGGGCAAAGCCACAGCAAGTAGAAGACATTGCCAGAGAAACCTTAGCTATTCAGATTTCCCTCACACCGGAGGAGATTAAAGGTAATTAATATACAAAATATGAATGATCATTTTCTGTAAGGTTTCAAGTGCAGTATACTGGCTCTCAAACCCCAACTTCTTGTGTTGAAAACTGTTTATTCAAATTTGGCTCTGCCATTCATCCCGAAAAGGTTCCCATAAGCCTGTTTTTTACTTGGCAAATTTACTTATGCGAATCAAAAGCTTTGGTTTGCTTCCTGAGCTCTGATGGGTTACATATTTTTTTCGCTTCACAAAAGGTAGAAACAGTTCGAATTACTGATTTCGCTGAAGCGAAAAACTCTGATGGAAATGTAAGTGTGCATGCGCATGAACTGATGCTTTTAATACCCGTGAATAAATTTGCCTTTTGATTCCCGTGAATAAATTTGCCTTTTGATTCCTGTGAATAAATTTGCCTAGTGGAAAACTGACTTTATTGTTAAAGGGTTTGGAATTCCATCAGTATTACAGCATCTGCTGAACAGCCATTTGGAGAGCAACGTTAGTGTAGTAGTTAAATTTAAATGGTGACAAAACCAACTGTTATTTTTTTAATCATTGAATCTTACTTTTCTCCAGCATTGGCGGATGAAATCCAGCAGTTGGTCGATTCCCTGGATAATATTGAGCAGATCTTGAATGACACACGTGATGATCTACTAAGAGTAACAGAATTAGAACAGAGGGCTGATGAAGCGAAGTATGTTAGCAGTTTGCTGATTTTTATTACTTTTTTTTTTACACTATACGATAAATATTTGACACATGAACCTCAGAAATGTGATGAACTAAAAAAAATATTTAGTTGTTTTTATTATTATTATTATTGTCTTTATGTTTTATTATTGTTTCTTTTCTGTTTTTGTATTTTGTTTTATTTTCATTAATATTGTAATTATAGGTATTATTTAAACAATTACGAAGTGAATTTGAATCAGTATTTTTTTCTTTTGATCAAAAAGTAATAATTTAAAATATAATATGTTCATCTTTTCAAAGACAATTTGCTGAGAGTGTTAAAGCATTAGCAGAATATGTGAATACTGCTCTGGATAATGCAAAAGAAGACCAGAAGGAGGCTGGTGTTGCTATTGACAATGCCAATGCTGACATCAGAGATGCAAAGGGAAGCCTGACGGCGGTATGTTCCCTTTATTTATTGGCGTAAACGTTCCATTAAGAGAAACATTAAGTATGTAGCTCAATACATTAAATACGTCTGGCTTTGAATCCCAGTTGGAAGCAGTTTTTCTTTACACTTCTGAATATCCTTCTCATAATGTAAATTGTGTATACATTTATAGCATTTACACAAGAATGGTCCTCACTAAACGTCTATGTAATAGTAATGTATAATGTATCTATATGCCTTTAGCTAAGCTTGATTGTGACTCGTACTGACTCAGTTGAGTCCTTTAAAGCCTTGCTCAAAAACATCTTTTTCTAAATCATAAATCACTTTTTCACTTTGTCTTGCTTTTTATTAAATTGTGTTTTTGCTGTTTCTGTAGTGTCTTTCAGGGCCACTATCTTTGCCGCAGTCTCTGCACCTTTGTCCGCGCCACCTAGGTAGAGGTCTGGGATTGCGCCAGAGACAGTGCACTGCTTGTCACCACACATTATTATTACTATATTTATTATACTTTTGTCTTTAAATCCTTTTAAGTTAAGTTAAGCGCATAGAGGCAGTTCTTGCAATATGCATTATATGAATAACAATTTACTATTATAACTCAACTGACCTCAACCAGTTGCCGGTAGCGCTCATGTTGATTTTCACTCGCAAATCGTGCAACTTCAAACAACTAGGTAAAAATAGTTGCCGAGAGCACCTGTGTCACTAGTTGCCCAGAGCACTTGTGTCACTAATTGCCCAGAGCACCTGTATCTCTAGTTGCCCAGAGTGTTACAAGTGCTCTGCTCTATAACAATTTATACTAAAGCATCTGATAAGTTGACCAGTTTCAAATAATCTCATCTCTACTTATTCATTGTGATATTTTTAATTCTAGATTGAATCTGAAGTTAATTCAGCACTGATCAAGGCCAATGCTTCGCTGACAATGGTTCAGATGATGCAGGATACTCTGAAAGATTTGAGTTTTGCTTTCACTGACAACAAAAATAATATACAGACAGCAGCTGAATCAGCAGAGAATGCAGCCCTGCTAGCCAATGCAACTGCACAGGTAAACATGATGTTGATGGTTATTGTTGTGGCTGTGGTATAGCAATTGTGATGGTTAGGACTTTAGTGTTGATGGCTGTGATGGTTGATTAAGTTCATTGTTAATGTTATGTGATAGCTATTTAGCTGGTGCAGCTGCAAAGGTTATCAATTAGGTTTTGATTATAAGTTGGTATTAAGATGATATTGATGCCAATAATAATAGTAATGGTACTTGTAGTATGTTAATGGTAGTGATTTAATCTTGATCATAGCTGTACCCATTTAACTAATGCAATACGAAAGTAACCATTAATTTTGTTTAAGGTAGTGGTATGGTGGTGATGATGGTAGTGGTTGGATAAAACACTACCATCACCACCACCATCAAAACCACCACCATCAAAACTACCATTACCACCACCATACCATCAAATTAACCAAATGGTATGGTAGTGGTGGTGATGGTAGTGGTTGGATCAAACACTACCATTATCATACCACTACCTTAACAAAATGGTATGCTGGTGATGGTGATAGTAGTTGTTGGATCAAACACCTATGGAACACATACTTGGCTCCTTAGGATTAGTGGTATTCTGAAATGCTGTTGCTAGTAATCTATTCAGACCTACCAAGTACCACAAACATGTGAGAGTCTTCAGGTTTGAACCATGCTCTTTGATTGGAAGTATGATGCCAAAACGTTTTACCACATTCTACAAATATCGATGATTTCTTTTCTCATGTTTTACATCAATTGTAGGAAGCAGAAGAGCTGCAGCAATCTTTTGATACAGTTAAAAAAGAGATAGATGCCAAGGCCTCAAGAGCTGCAGAGTTCCGGCAGCGAGCAGAAGTACTTCTAGAAGGGGCTACACTATTAGAAGCAGACACCAAAAGTAAACTCAGTCGTTTGAGAGGTAAATCTTTTGAATTATTGCAATACTAAATGTATTGCTGTCAAACAATTGAGATGATGCTGTTTATAGTCGATAGTGACATCATTGACCAATGATGTCATAAACTCTATACAAGACGTAATATAAACTGTATACAACATCATCTTTCGCTGGAGAATGTTTGCTGAGAGTGATCAAAATATAGATAGGCAATTACAAACCTTACATAATTGGTTCACATTTAATTATCAATTGTATATTCCTGATGTTAATTCAGTTTGTATTATTATACTCTACTGCACTTCATGTATACTACTGTATATGAATTGGACCATTGTTTCTGGTAAACATAGAATATTGACTGTGTATATGTATCGACTAATAATTTTATAACTTTACACCATAGTGTTTAAATAGATAATATATTAATATAGTATAAAAATATTGACTGTTCATGAGGGGAATGGTCAAATTTGTAGTATCACCGAGGGGCTATAGATTTCACCATTTCATACATAGATTCTACAAGGCCTAAAAAAGCAATGAAAAGACACCCATCAAGTAGGCCTAGACTGGGCTTACTTCCTAGGTGATCAAAGGGCCAATCTCTCTCTCAGCATCCGTTGCGTCCTCTTTACTGTTCATGCGTGTCACAAATTGCGTAGCAATCACCTTATAGGTGAGGCTTAGAGATTATATTGCAACAGGCCAAAAAAGTACTATCATTTAACGTGATAGTACTTTTTTCCCCGGGAATTAATGAACTATCATTCAACTTACGTCATAAGAATGATGGTTGAAGTTATTGCCCGCTTCTTAACAATCAGATATATTCCGCATATTAAACAGATGATTAACTTATTGTTTTTAAACTTTCTGCTTTAGATTTAGATGACGACTTTAAAGATAACAAAATATTACTCGATGAGCACACCAGGTCATTAGAAGCTCTGAAAGCTCGAGCTGCGAGTGCACTGTCGACGATACAAGAACGTGCCAGGTTTTACGAAAGCTGCACCATATAGAAACCGTCTGTTCATCTTTTTAAGTTTTCTCAAAATCTTCTCCATGAATTGAAGAATCATGTTGGTAGTACGGTGACCATTACATTTTCTCTTTCCTTTTGTGTTGGTGGAATTGAGTAAAACTTAAATTGTGTTTATATGTGTCTAACCTTATGATATGAGATACTGATGAAAGATTGGATTCTGCTAATGTGTATGCTAGTTACACTGAGTTGGAATTAGTATCGTGTTGAAGAGGTTGATGACTTTGTATACGTCTTACTGTAGGACTCTGTAATAATGTTTGTGATACTTTATGGTTATTGTTTATCAGTTTTTTTTTCACTGTTTTTATAGTTAACTGATGGTGCTATTTAAGGTATTATAAAGTGCACGCAATTTGCATTTCCACATGTTAATCCATTGTAAATATATATGCTTTTTTCATTATCACATCAAAAAAATATATATAATTCCAGATATTCTTTTCTAGGTTTTCTAATGTAATGACACCTATTATTTGTCAATTGAGGCTATTGGTAGCCACTGACTTCATAGCTGTACATCTGTCAGCTTCTTGAAGTTAGTAATTGTTATTTTACTTAATCTTAACTATTGTATGTATTCTGTGTTGTGGTGGTTTTATCCATGTACAAAGCTAAGGTGTACTGAGGCTGGTGTGTTTTTTACTTCTTCTATTCACCTATTTATGATTTCTCACTGTAATTTTTATCACTAGATAGTAAGTTTGTAGATTGTAGTAAAATTGTATACTTTTCTTACCTCATATTATGTAAATGTTTATTTTTTGGAATAGAAAAAAAAAATCAACAATGGAGACTTTAAAATGGACTGAAATAACTATCTTGGTTTTTCAATTTCAAATTAAAGACTTCATTAAATATAATATCAAATTCATCAAATATAGATTTTCATATCTGTATACCATCCACAATGTGTATCAACCAATAAGACACTGTCTTAACCAATGGGACAGGTCTGAGTTTCTCAACCAATGGAACACATTGGTTTTAACCAATGGGACATGTCTTGAATTTTTCAACGAATGACACACTTGTGTTTTAACTAATGGGACAAGTTCTGAGTTTCTCAACCAATTAGACTCCTGTGTCTCAACCAATGGAATAATTCTGGGTTTCTCAGCCAATGAAACACCGGTAATTTTCTTATGACACTGTAGCCTGGTTCTCACAAGAGCCCTAGTATCCAGATCGGGAGCTAACCGTTAGAGCTAACCGTTAGCACCTGTGTGAAGAACGCCCAACCGGTTAGTACTAATTAATTAATCTGAATTAATTAATCATATGAATAAACAATTTGTAAGTGATGTATATGCTAAGTTGGAATATTCAATAAATCAAATACGTATTATGCAACTAACATTTTATACTAAAAAATTACAAGAAAAATGTCTTCTTCAGCCACCTTCAAAACAGTAATAAAATAAGTTATTCTCTATGTGTTTTGTAGTTAGTTACTGTAGTTATGCAGTTCCTAGTAATTTATATACAAAATGTATTCCATATTTTATACTCCCTTTATCATTCTCTTGGTTTAAAATCCCATATGATGCCACTTAATATGCAATATCCTGTCATATTCATACACAGTTCACAGTTTCACTTGGAAATTAATATACACTGTGTTGAGGTAATGTCTCCATAAGCGTTGCATTCTTTTTTATTTTTTTCAATTTTGTCGCCCTGTGCCTTTAGTGGCTATCTTGTGTTTTAGTAAATCTTATTTATCTGAATGTTAATTAATTTTCTTATTAATACATTTGCGATTATGATGTTGACAATCAGGTATTCCATGTACCAAAGTATTTTGATAGCACATCTTTTTTTCTGAGATAGGATTAACAACTCGTTTTTTTTTTTTACATAAATAGATATTATTTGTTTATTCTTGTTTGTTTTCATCACCTGTGCCAAATTTCAAATGCTGCATTGCATAAGTAAACATTATGGTAAACCCCTCGATATTTGTTGCCATATAATTTCAGTATTTGTCAAACTATTGCGCTGGCCATTTTATTTCTTATTGACTAATAGGGGCCTCCTGCTTGGTAGTAAGCTTTCTGCCAACAAAAATCAGAGTAATGTAAACATATGCTTTGCATTTTCAATTTAGTTTTGTCTTTAAGATGAAAGTATATTTTTGTCACCATAGTTTGGTACAATTGCATTTGAGAATGTTATTTAGGGAAGTTATTATATAAACACCTAGTTTGAAGGTTTACTATACTTTTTGCTCTCAATGCAGTTGAGTGTATTCTCGATTTCTGTTAATAAACACGTAGTTATTAATTTGTGTAGTTTGCATTTGTGTTTTGTCCATACTTTTGAATAAACCATTCCATGATCGATGATCCAGTGGCGGATCCAGCCTTGAGAAGAACGGCGCTACGCTGGGGGTGGGGGGCCTAGGCAGGTCCACAGGCCCCACCCCCTGTCAGGGAGGCCTCCTCCCCCTGTTGGGGTAAAACACCACAATTCAAGGAAAAACAAATTCAAAAAAATTATATGTATTTTTTACATATTAATAGACTCTAAAATCGATTAAATAAGCCTTTGAAACCCTTAAATTATCATATTTTCGGGGTGCTACGTCCCCTGGAACACTTTCGAAAGGTTTTTAGCGACGCCCGACCATGCCCCCCTCATCAGGGACCTTAGATCCCCCATCGGGGAAATTCACAGATGGAGGGTCTTCACCACATCAGCCCCACCATGGTTGGGGCTGGGGTAAGAAAATATATGATTACAGCACCTCCAGATGGCCAGCATTGGCAATCTCAGAGATGAATTTGAATATAATTTACTTTTTTTCTCAATTTTTAATAATTTTGATAAATTTAGTGAGTGGTGGGGGTTGGAAATGAGTGATTGAAATTTGATGATGCTCTTTCCTGCTTTAGAATAATTAAAATCAGAACGTTAAAGGATGAATGCTTAGAGCTGAGGGATGGTCATAAATATTGGTCGGAGAAGTAAATTTTTGATTTAACACCGAGTGCCACACCCAAACTTTCATGTTTCCAGTGAGCTTCCAAAAATCTCCAAACACTGCTTTTACACCACCTTATTCTCAGTTTTAATGTTACTTTTTACATACGATCAATGTCTGGCTGTATAAAAAACAAGGTGTTTTCTAGCCAATCACTGTCGGGCTGCACTTTGTCCACCTGTGGCGTAGAGGTTCGGATGACAGACGACCGTTTGTTTTTTTTGGTTTTTTTGTCTTACAAGATGTGACGTTGATCACATAGATTACACCTGTACAGTAATTGGTAATACTCTCTACTGCTCTACAGCCAACCAATCACAAGATAAAAAAAGAGCCTGTATATGTTTTCAATATGTAAACAGCATGAATGCATATTGATCGAAGATGTTATGTAGTCCATATTAAATCCCTTGCCGCCTGCATATACAGTATTGAGTTTATGTGCAAGTTGTGTAGGCCTATTGTAACAGTTCAGCAAAAACTCGGAGAGTAATTAGTGAAATCGCTGTAGAGAAATTTGTAACAAGTTACAAAAAGTAAATTCCCTTGAACGAAATTCGAAAAAAATTGCATTGAATTTGTATGCGTTCATGTCAAAATCATTTAGAGGACTAAATGCTAATCGAACACAGATTTGTGAATGCACGATTTTCGGTAGTGGTAGGCCTATGTCAGAATCCTACAGGTTATCGACAAAATAATCAATAAATATTTACATCTCCTGTTTTTCAATGTAATGAAAAACAATGTTCTATTGACATTCTAAGACCAACTTCAAAAGCATCATTTACTCTTGTTAATGGTTAATGGTCAAAAACAAATTTCAATTAATTTTTTTTTCATCTGACTCCATGCAAGAGCCTTTTTTTTTTCTTTTTTTTTTATCTCTTTGTATCAGAAGACGCTTAATATTCCCGTAATATTTCTTAACCATACCAATTTTCCCCTAAATTGTTGGTTTCTAATAGGGGCCTTTTTAAGTATTTTCTGATGGATTTCACATCCATACACCCACTACTATACGGTATGAAGTCCACTCATTTGTTAATTGTTAGATGCATAGGCCTATGCCTTCCTTCTCTTCCTCTCAAAAAGGCAACCAACCCTTACCACTTTTATTTCCAAACCTTATCTCACGTAAAAGACGCACGACTTTCTTGGGATGGAAGAAGTTTTTGCGACACGAATAAAAATTCACAGATCGTTGATGGCGCTATATTTAAAAAACATGTCGGATAGTGATGATGATTGTATCAGCCTCTCTTCTTATCGGAGGAATTTTATCGTGTGTTTCAGGTAAATATTGAAGTTATAATAACCCTGATTAATTATATCATTATCAATATCGTCCATTCTAAAATAATTCTCTATTTACATGATTTGAGGATGAAAAATGAGAGAATAAGCAGAGGTTGCCACTGCTGCAGTGCTAGTGTAGATGTGGTTACCAACTTCGGCGGGTGACCGACACTAGCCAGTCTCTTTACTTTTTCAGACGAACAATTGGAAGATTCGTCGCTAAAACTTAAAAGTAGGTCCTACTGTAGGACTGTTGAGTGGGAACTGTTCTAAAGTTAATTATTATAAGCTAAAAGTGTACTACCTAAGTAGTATTTTATTTACATTAGTATTTTACATCGAAAAAATGTAAGTATAGAGGCCAGGGTCACTTTACGATAAAGTGTAGAAATGTGTTTGTGTGGGCATGATGCACTCCCTGGCTTATTTTAAACCGATATAAACAAAACATGAAGTAATCTGAACCAAGCATGAAAAGGAAAACAGAATCCCTTCAGAACAAAATTCTCTGCCAGGGTGCTTGAATTGCACCCTCAACGGTTCTTCCTCCCTTGACGGACCCACATTTGAAGCCCCTGTTTTAAATAGATTTGCACCCTTCTCCACCCCCAATTCTAGAGCTACCATCATAGAAGTCCATCACCAAATGTTGCAAATATTCCCTTTTCTATTTTTAGCATGTACAATTGATATGAAAGCTCCAATTCAATAATTAATATACAGAAGTTAGAGTAACACCTTATTGCAGGGTGTCTTTGTTTTCTCAGCACTGTAACTTTAGACAGTAATTTTCATACAGTGTCTTTTTTTTTTATCATGGAGATATAATTGGTTTCATTAACAATTATATAATTATATAGAATAAACATTCACATCAAAATTGTGAATGTACTGTCTTCTTTTTTTTCTTTTTATTTAATTTTATTTAATTAATTTTTTTTAGAAGTTTCATCTCATCCACAATAGCTTAAACACATAACACTGATAAGATGAATAATAGCGAACTATCTGAAATATAACAAATTCGGTCAAGTAGGCCTATGCAACTGCATATTATTGATAACAATCTGTACAAATTTAGTGAAAACGATAGTTAAAAATGTTAGATATTAAAATCTCAGGGCCATGGATGATAATGGTCAGATGATCTGTTTTACTTTTGCTATTTAAATGAATTGATAGATTGGCGGAAACTATACACTGGATTGGTTTTCTACTTGAACTTCATTTACATTTGACCCATGCTATGCATAAATCACCCAGGGCTGTCCAGCTCCTTCATTGACACGCCTAACTGCCCTGACCTTACTATAAGAAATCTGTCAGAATTTTCCGCAGTACTGTATGGAACATTGCTTTGACCTTACTATAAGAAATCTGTCTTTTCCACAGTACTGTATGGAATATGAAGGATATTAAATCAGATATTTAAACAAATTGTGCTATAATTACAGCGTTACTGTTTAGATTGTTTTTTTTAGACACACACGCTCTTATTTTGAACGTTATACTTTGTATGTTTATTATGATTTTTTGGAATTGGGGTGGTTAGCTTTTTTTAGTATTTCATATTTTAAGTATTTGTGAATGCAAATTATAAGGAACACTTTACCTAAACTATATGTAGGCATAGTGCATGGACGGCAATTATTCAGATTAACAAAAATAATAGAAAGGCATGTCTCACTACTAAAAAAAAAAAAAAATTTAGAAATTAAAAAAAAAAATTTTATTCTTTATTTTTTTCATTTATTTTTTTCATTTATTTTATTAAATAGTTAGTAGATATTGTTTGCATTATCTAAATCATGTTTTACTTTGAATATCAATGCACCAGCAAACAAACCAAGGGTTATATTTGGTTTAGCAAAATAAAAAATTTAAAAAAAGCCTCCCTCCTCATCACTTTTCCTGCCCAGATAGGGTGATAAACTAATAATATTCTTTATAGGGCCTTATGAATCTATGTGGAACTAAGAAAATTAGAAATCCCAGTGAAAAGCAAGGAAGGTGTGAAACATTGTTGGGTACTATATCCCATCGCACCCGCAGTGCAGTAGAATGTATTTTGTGGTTTAGCCTGTTTTTATTCCTTGTCTTTATTTTTTATTATGACTAGTTAATGTGTGTTACTGTATTAAGTTCCAACATTATTTAACTCACAGCAAGCATTAGTCTTTCCACCCAGGAGTATAAAATAGGTGCTTACTGTTGTGGCTGTGATTATGAGTGATTATGTAGGGATACTCCCTAGGGAACAGCAGTGTTTGCGCATACAGTAGTTTAGGGCTTTGGTATCTAAATGACGAGGTGCGATAATTATCTGTAGAATCCCATAGATAGTACATTAAAATTGTTGGGCTATTGTGTACATGTTAAAGTGATACAAGATACAGTAGGAGAAATATGTTGTTTTACAGATGTTTTATTTCCTACGAAATTCTTACATTGGCTGATGGCCAATTTAATGATCGATGCAAAAAAAATGGTATGCACTATGTTGTTGAAGACAATTATATTTTCTCATTATTTTATAATTTTCAGATGAGGATTACTTACTGTATTATATTAAAAAAGTACTGATAGTAGAAAAATTCATATTATTAGATTTGCTTGACACTGATCTTAAAATAAACTACAGTACTAAGTTAAAATAATTTGGTATCAATACTCCTTAATCAATAACAGGTGAATATTGCGAAGGGTACTGGGAATATGGTAAATACAAAGAAGGATACAGCTGTCCACAGTTCTTTGCTGGCGATGATCTCGATAAAGTTTACTGTTGCAAAGAGGGATGTTGTGATGGCGACTCGCATCACATACCATCAATAAAGTAAGTGATTTTTGTTTTACAAAAAGACTGAAGTAAAATTTTTGTGTATGAAGGGCAGATGTATTTTCACTTAAATGATCTGTTTTTGAACCTTGGAATGGAAAGGGTATGATCGTTTGTATGGGACAAATAAAGAGAAGTTTGAACTTGGGACTCTCATTTGAA